GTAGTTGTTGGTATTGGCGTTGTTTCGGCACGATTGTTCCTTGGCGGGTTTCTTTGCGTTGCTCGCGTACCGCCAGTATCTCGACTTTTGTACTGACTTTTGGTTTGCTCTGGAGAAAAATGCGAGACAATTTTCGGTGAACTTAGAAAATTTTGATTTTGTGTTTGGCGGAAAAAATACAAACAAAAAAAAATAAGAAAACCGAAAACCGAAAACCAAAATATGCAGCCGAAAGAAAGTGTGGAAGTGAAGTGATGAGAAATTGAAAACAAATCTACATACTACATAAGTACTGATGATGTGTCTGTGACAGTGGAAGAAGGATTAGAATGGAAATCAAATACACTGATAACAAATTGACAAATTGACCAAGAAAATTGTCACTTCTTGAAATTTTTAAAAAAATAAAAAAAAAAAAAATAATTAAAAAAAATTTTTATATGAACTAAATAATTAATACAACACAGAAACTAATCTGAAATATAAAAAAAAATATAAATAATTGTCATATAAATTTATAACATTTTTATTTAAACATATGTATGCTTGCAGTAAATAATATAATCATACAAATTGTCAGATTACATATAAATCTATGTAAATAAAACAGCAGACAAATAAGGAAATGATTGTTTTTAATGCAAAAAAAGTATATACTAAAAAATGTAGCTTAGAGGGTAGATAGCTTGCTTTTCACGATATGATATGGATTCTAATGAGGTTTCATGATCTGATATAGTAGCCCTTGTCAATTATTGTTGTTTTAATATAACAAAATATTCATAAAAGTTACATTACAGAAAAACTTGCTAAAAATAAATTGTGATACCTGCATTTGCTTATAATAATAATTTTTAAAAATTTTATTACAATTAAATAAAAAGTTGTAAAAAATGTGGAATGGAAATTTTTAAACAACTAAAGATTTAAAGTTTTTTAAATGTCTGCAAAATAAAAGTTTTTCAGTAAAGTAAATGAAACTGGTCAAAAATTTAAAATAATGTACTAAAATTTTATTGTAATTAATCAAAAATTTAAACGAATAATAGAAGATATAAAGTGTTATAAATATTTGTAAAGTTAAATTTTTCATTAAAGTAATTGAAACTGGTCCTAACTATGCAAAACAAATTTATGTACAGCCTTTTTTGGGGAGATTTTTATTATTCTTTTAATAAACTTTGTAGAATTTGGACGATGCATTTGATTCAAACAACTAAATTTAACAAGCAACAATAATTAAAAATTATAAAACTCATAGATAAGAGAATTCTTAACACACACGCATAAATTAGAATTATGAAAACTTTAAAATTGAAAAATTCAAGCTTGGAAATTATCAAAAAATTGTTTGGAAATGATTAAAAAAATAGCGAAAAAGCATAAACTACATTTATTATTTATAATTTTAAGTAAAAATTATTAAAAAATTATTTTCATAACAGAAAAAGCTATATCTACGAAACCAGCCATTAAATAAATGAAAATTGGTAATAACGTTAACAGCTTTCATATAAAATTAAAAAAAAATATCAAGTTAAAATAAAAAAATAAATAAATAAAAACTTATCGCTGTGTGTTAAAATTTCTTTTTTAAAACAAATACACATATACAGTAACATATAGGAAAATTTGGGAATTATTTAAAATTTAAAATTTATGTTATATTTAAACTTTTCAATAAAAAAAAAAAAATTTTGTGCAAAACTGTTTAAATAAATTTTTTTTGTTGTGAAAAAAATATCGGATTCTTAGCGGACTAAATTTCAAGAAATTATTAGTTCTTTCTTCAAACATTTAAAGACAAATCGGGTTTGAGCTTGAAAAGAAGAGAAACTACGCCCCAAAATTGTGCTTCCAAGAGAATTGCGAACGAAATCACTAAAGGCTAAGGACAAAAATATTTGGGATAACTTTAAACGTCTAAAAATATATTTAGGTGGCAAGGTACCATAAAAATCATATAAATTTTCACACAGCTAATAAACAGTTGATAGTGGTTCCAAGTCTTCTAAATATTAATTTGACCGTTAAAAGCTTTAAATATATTAAAGACAATATGACAGCTCTTGAACCACCCAAATGCTTCTAAAAAATTTATTTAACAAAATTAGGCAATACATTAAAAGTTTCTTTTTACTATAGATTAAAAATTAATTTTTCAAGAACCATTTTTTTTTGTTTAACTTTATAAAAATTAATGGTAAAGAAACTATATATAATTACATTTTATTTAAATAAAATATAACCCGAACAAAATTTCACAGCAATAAAACAATAGAATTTACATAAAACATTTGCTCCAATAAAAATTTTGCGCCTCAAAAAATTTTATTCACCAGTTTTAGTTTTTTTTTTTTAAATTTTCACTCTATTGCATAAGCGTTGTGCAATAAAAATTTACTAAAGTTCGGTTTCTCTTACATACTCCTAAAATTTACTAAAATTTAGACATTTAAAAGTTGTTGAGTATTTTTTAACATTTATAATTTTTATTTTAAAATATTTCACAAAAAAATATAATATATATATAAAAAATTTAAATTTTATCTAATTCGAGCACTTAAGTTATTAATTTTTTATTCGTATTTAAATATGAAGATGCGAAAAAATCGCCTTTCTAAATATTTTTATTTTCTTGGCTTACAAAAGGTTAGATAAATCGTAGTTTTAATTTTCAGAAAATTTAGAATTAAAAAATAAAATTTTTACGCAATTTAAGTAGATAGGAAAAAAAATTACATCTCTAATAGCTGGTTTCGTCAGCTATTCAAATGCAGAATGATTTTTAATTTTCTGTCAATTTTCATACAAAATTAAAAAATTTTAAATCATCCAAATTCTAAAAAGGGTTTCATGAAACTGGCTGTAAGAAAATTTGTTTAATTTTGGTTTAAAAAAATTTGAAAAATTTTAGGATCTTGTTTTTGAAAAATTTTGTGAAGCATTTTTTCAAAGCAGAAATCAAACATTTTTTGTTTTATGTTTGATAGCATTGTACACCTAAAAATACTAAAAAATCGTTTTGATTGAGAAATATAGAAATAATAACGCACAATTTAGAAAGTCTCAGTTGTCAACATTTATTTTAGTGTATTTTGTTTCTCGCCATTCCCAGAAAAAAAACAATACTTCTAACTAGAACAACAAATTTGTTGGTATAACAAAAAAAAAAACAATACATACATACAACGAAATATTAAATAAATTTATACTTATTCGAAGAAGTTCGAAAAAAGGTAAAAAAAAAACCAAAAATAGATAAGTAAAAACCACATTCAACACTTCAACAACAATATACAAAAAAACGTGAACCTTAAACTACTAAAAAACTAATAAAATAAAATAAACGAATCCGCGTTTCAATACTAAAAACAAAAAAAAACAAAAAAATCTAATACTAATTTCCCTAATCACACCTAACGCAATGTTTTCAATTTCTCGCGCCATCTTCCACACTTTCGTTGCCGGCAAAATGTTCGCGTTCGCGTCGCTTACGAGTACCTCCACAATAGAGTACAATATGGTTGCCCATTTTGCGTTTGCAAGAAACAAACTGGAACTAAATTCTAATGGCGGCGGCGGCGGCGGCGGCGGCAACAACAAAAGATTCACTCCCATAATGGTGTAGATGGTCGTAGGGGTGGTGCAGGTGTTGCTGCACTTTTGTACTGGTGTACTGGTGGCTCGCGCGTGATTAGAGCTTAGAATTCACACTCATTTCGTGTGCTTTTGTTCTTTGGTTTTGGATGTATGTATGCAAAGAGTGAAAAGTGCATAAACATGCGTATGTGTGTATGTATGTATGTATGTATGTATGTATGCGTGCTTGGCTCTGTGAATGAACGGAAGTTAATATTCGGAATACATACATGGATTTTTGCCAAAAAGACAAATGAAGACGAATGCGAAATGCTTAGAAAATGAAAATGAAATACGAACATATCTATGTACACATGCATATGAATGTGGTGCAAAGTGCAGTGTTTAGAAGATGCATGGAATGAAAGATACTAACAAAAACTACATAGTCATAACTGTGTATCAAAATGTGTAACTAATAAATATACATACATACACACATAGGTATCTATGTATGTATGAGTGCACCTATCACTGCGGTTTTCTTCGTTTTGGTTCGTGCGAATTTGATACAATAGTTTATTGATTGTGGGCGTGTGTGAGAAAAAAAAAATGATTTGTAAATATTTTTATAGACGTATGGATATCTGACTCAAAAGAATAGGAGAAATATTTTAACACTAAAGCAATTTTCTTTAGCGAAATTCGGTTTCTTCATTTCTGATGGACACCAAAGTTATCGTTTTTTTTCTCCAAAAAGCAAGTGCAACATTTTGCACAATGTATTTTATGAAAAAATTAAATGCTTACTTATATACATATGTATATTTATCTACATACGCACATATACATACATATGTAAAAAATTTTTTCGTATTAAAAATAATTGTATTTTCTCCTGATTTAAACTTATAAGTCCTGAGATTTTGTTTTAAAAAGAAAAGTTTCTTACTTTTAAAATATGTAGTTTTAATTTTTTATTAAAAAATAATTTTTTTTCTCCTGATAGGTTATTTAAACTTATAAGTCCTGAGATTTTATTTTAAAAAGAAAAGTTTCTAACTTTTAAAATAGTTTTCAAAGAAAAGTGAATTTTATGCAAACAAATTTTAAATCTTTAAAATTTAAATATCAAAATATTTTCTTTTTATTCAAATTCCCACATGATTTTAAAATAAAATATTTCAAATAGTTTTTTATTTAATTATTTTTTTAGTTTTCTTTTTTATTTCTTTGTTCTCTTTTAATTATTTTTTTTTTCTCAAGCGTTTTATACAATGAAATTATGTTTTATATGCACATATTCCAATTTTTGAAAACTAAATATAATAAAAGTTATAAACATAAAAATTATTTGTAAGAAAAAAATATAATTATCTCAAAAATTTTTTTCAGTATTGTTTAATTTAAATTTTTCAAAGCTTAATATAATAAAAATTGTGACGATAAAACATAGTTTGTAAAAAATAAAAAATAAAAATAATCATTTCAAAATTTCTCTTTTAAACATTAGATCATTTTAATTTTTAGTATTGTTTTCTTTTCACCATTGCTTTAACAATAAAATGTATCATTTGTGTAAAAATTGGGATATATCAAATTTTGTAAATTTTTCTATGGAAGACGAATTTGCACTTAAAATATTTTTTTATTTTCTACATTTTAAATAATTTTTTTTTTATATAAATTTAAGGTTACAATCACGAAATTAAAAAAATGTAAAATTTTCTTTATTGCAATAAAAGTTTTGTTTTATTTATTTTTGAAATTTTGTAGAAACGAATAACAACAAAAATTTGTAGTGTGAAAAATATTTATCTTGAAAAAAATTTTACGAATTAGACAATCGAAACAATGTTATATGCATGTAGTCAATAACGTCGGTAACGATGTTTAACAGGAGATTAGTGTTAACCAGAGATGGTGAAAACGGCCCTTAGAGTTGATAACATCAAAAGAGTCTAAAATTAGTCATTATAAGTGAAGTACTCATATTAGACTCAAAAATATATTCTGAGCACTCAGAAAATTGCTTAAAGTGTAGTAGTTTATCTTATTTAATTTTTCAATAAAGTACAGTTGTGTGTTCTGAAACTTTTAAAAGAAATTCTGAAATATACTTGCTTTGAATAATAAATAAAACTTTATTGAAATTTTAATTAGTTTCAATAACAACAGTAAATAAATAAAGATTTTATTCCAATCCCACAATATCTGCTTATTTTTTAAACCCAGGATGAAAAAATTCTAGTTTTAGGAAAAATTTAACAAACCTCCTAAATAATGCATCTCCTACTCGTATCTCTTCGATACTTGCTTTTATTTTTTCCGCTTTTCTTGTACCATTCCACGCCACAGCATTGATAAATAGTATGTATCATCACACATCAGACAGCTAAGCCGTAGCTTATACCCCTGCAGCGGCACTTTGAACTTGAAAATTTAGTTGATTTTGTGTTTTCATTTCTTTGTTTGGCAATCAAGCGCGTGCTTGTTTACTTTTGTCTATGTCAGCGAAAATCCCCTACTAACTTCTGCTCCAGACATGCATTTTTACGCTACTAACATTCTTTTGAAGCTAGAGTTTTATTGGGCTTTCCCACACTTGTGCTTCTAAACACATAAATTAAACCAAGCCATCACATTGCCACCACGCCAGCCACCTAAACCAGCATTGAACGCAGTTTTCCCGAATTTGTTGCGTTCCTTATCGCGTTAAATCGCCGGGAGTGTAGACGTTTGGCACTTCCGCTATGTTTTTTTTTCTGCCTTTCCTTTAAATGTTATTGTATGTGTGTGTGCCTGCGAAATGTTATGAAATATTGCTCTACTTGGAATTTGACTATGAAGCAATTTTCGAGCAATTTTTACATCGTCTGGGTGCATTGAACACGAAAATGTGCACCGCGCAGCATATTACACTTTTCTGCTTTAATTTATTAATATTTAATACATATAATACAATTTTATTAACAATTTTCATATGACTTATGTTTTTGTATTGAATAAGAATTACTATGCAAACAATTTGCACTGTTTTGAAAACATCCTGAGCTTTTTTTGAAAATGAAATTTTCATGTTAACAAAACAAAAGTTAAGCTGTTTACTTTTTTTTTCTTTTTTATTAAGAACTTCAATTTGACGTGGCCGTGTACAAAGAATTTAAAATTATGCTGATAAGAAAACTTTAGTTTTATAAATCTTGAGCAGAAGCTCAAAAATTATGCACCAGAAAAACTCAAAGTCTTTAAAAAAATGATAATCACTTCTTTAGTTCTGGCAGTCCCTTTATCTACATAGATTACAAAACAATAAGCTTAAGTGAAATTATAAAAATTTTAAAGGGATCTTCCAACACTTTCTAGACATTTAAACAAGAATCTACTTTTCTAGATGTGTATGAAATTCTAACTAGAAAGTTATTTGCATAGCAATTCAAATTTATACTTTGATTTCGTTAAGATTATTATGATTTGTTTTTTGAATTCCATTATTTTTGATTGAGCGTTTTTTTTTGTGTGGATAGATCCTTCATTAGATTTATCATACTAATCTCTTTTATATGTTTTCTCTCTCATTATTCAGGTGCTTTTTGACTGTTTGGAACCTTTTTAATAATTACGTTGAAACGTTGTTGATTCTTATTAAATATTGTTTTGTTGAATCTGAGGACGAACAAAAACAAAAACAAATCCCAATCAAAGTCAAGGAAACCAACATATGGAAAGGCAACTCTAGGACAAACAAACAAAAACAAAAGAAAAACAACAAATCGCGAAAACAACAAAAAAAA